TACCTAGACAGCATTGGCATATACAAATTATAATTAGAAACACGCTAGAGTGTATGCGGGCTGTTTGCAGCTTGCACCGCGCTGTCCATGCTTAATATGTACGATTTGTTTTCAAACAGTATCTATAAATTTGTACCGAACTTTACCTGCGTTACTACAGGAGTGGCAGACGTTACGGGAAAAACAACATTGGCTGGAGGGGGTTTTATCCCCTCTATAATCAATTCTTTCGTCACGAGAGATTGCCGTAAAAGAGGCAAACTTTTCTTGAGAAATCCAATCAGGCATGGTTGAGGTGATGCATTCAATAATCTTTCAAGTCTATCACAGAACTCTTCAGGTTCAACTTTAGTATCAATTAACTCTTGTATCAAAGTTCGAACATGTCGCTCCACCGCTTTAGGTTCTCGACTAGACAACTCTAACAAGTTTGCTAAAAATTTACGGCACTTTTCTTTGGTATTATCTGTAGTTTGACGCTAAAAATAAAAAAAAGACGTAATATAGTCGAATTGATGCATCATAAATAAAATCATTATTCCAGTTTAATAAAAGATATATTCATTTTTTATTATATTAATTGCATTTAACACATACTGGTGTAGGTGTCTGAACAGTTTGAACAGTAGTAACAGGTGGAGTAGGTGTAGTTGAGGCAGCAGCAGTTACTGTCGCAGGAGTTGTGGTTGCTGTTGTAATAGTTGCAGCCACAGTCTGTATAATTAAATAAATACTATAAGATTTTTCATAATACTTAAAGCTAATAAAAAAAAAAGAAACTATTATCTGATAATTCTACATTTAAAAGATTAACAAATATTTACATTTTCCTTTAAATAACGCAAATAAATTTGTAATTTTTTAAAAATTCTATATGAATTATAAAACTGCAATGTCATTCAAAATTAAAAGCATTTTGTAGCATTGCTAAAAATAAAATATAAACAGCAAATTTGTTATAAATAATAATTTTGTTTATAACATGCTTTTATCTTTAAATTTATAGAAATGTTCACTGCATCACATTTTTCTTTGTCTATTTCTACAATTATAATCTACATGTATCTTTTCTATATGCATGCTGAACATCAGACTTTTCAAACACAAAATCTACATTTTCATTACTTTTTTTCACTTATGTTCATTGTTTCAAAATATACATGTATAACTTTATACTGATTTTCATATATTAAGTATAATTGTACCATATATTAAAGACGCACTTGTACCTTGTACAGACTCGTAATTCTTTTTTCTGTGATATTATCCTTTAGTTGTTTCTTATTAAATTGTACATACGTACTTGCTTTTACCTTGTATACTCATTCTGAGTACTTTACACGTTTTCAGCAGAGATATTTTATAGGAAACTAATACTTTATGTGACAAGTTACTAAAATACAATCTGTTACATAAAATTAGTACATAATACTAACCATAGAAAATTAGTACATAAAGAATTGAGAATTTTAATTTTACATTTATCTTTTATGTCTAATGATTTATATAGATATTGCCATGATGAAATATGATTATGAAATTTTGTAAATATGAATTTGATTTCCATGAAACAAACTTCATATTTATATGAAGAAATTGTCATTATTCTTATATATATATATTATATATATATA